TTTACGTACAAAACTCAAGAACATATTCCTTGTGGGTTTGGATATATAGTTGTAAGGTATGATGGGAAAGCAAACCCGCCCGTGATTTATAGAGGTCCCGATGCAGCGGGAAAGTTCCTAGAATATCTACAAAATGAAGAGAGAATAATCAGGGAAAAATTATCGTGTAAGAAACCCATGCGTATGACGAGGGATGATTGGAGTGCCTATAAGAAGTCAACGAGTTGTCACGTTTGTAATAAACCCCTGGATGGGGATTCCGTAAGAGATCATTGTCACGTCACGGGTAATTATCGGGGAGCCGCTCATAACGAGTGTAACTTGAAACTAAAAATGAATTCTCAAACAATACCCATCCCCGTTGTGTTTCATAACCTTAGGGGATACGATTCACATCTCATTATGCAAGCTATCTCAAAGGCCGACGGCGGTTTGACGTGCATTCCTAATAATATGGAAAAATACATATCGTTCTCGTTGACTAAACCTATACATTATAGGGACAAAGATGGGAAATCTAGAACAAAGCAAAGTAATGGGCTTAGATTCATAGACTCCGTACAGTTTCTGTTATCTTCCCTGGACAATTTAGCTAATGCGAACAATCCCGATGACTTCGCGATAACAAATAAATATACCGATAAGATAACTTGTAATTTGTTGCTGAGAAAAGGTGTATATCCTTACGAATATATGGATGATTGGTCTAGATTCGAAGAAACTGAATTACCACCCCTCGAATCATTCTATAGTAACTTAACAGAATCTAGAATAACAGATGCCGATTATGAACACGCTCTGACGGTCTGGGATAAATTAGGTTGTAAGAATTTAGGCGATTATCACGATCTGTACTTAAAAACCGATGTACTGTTACTTGCCGATATATTCGAGATATTTAGAAAGACATGTTTCAAACAATATGGCTTGGACCCGGCATGGTACTATTCCAGTCCCGGACTATCGTGGGATGCATTGTTGAAGAAGACCGGCGTAGAACTAAAATTACTCACAGATTACGATATGCACTTGTTTATTGAGAAAGGATTAAGAGGTGGTATATCGATGGCAGCTAAAAGGTATTCTAAGGCTAATAATAAATTAGTGGAAGGATACGATCCGAGTAAACCAGACACTCACATATTATATCTTGACGCTAACAATTTGTACGGATGGGCTATGAGTCAACCTTTACCCACGGGTGGTTTTGAATGGGTCGATGATATCAATGTGAATAATATCAATAATATCAATGTGAATAAAGGGTACATACTAGAAGTTGACTTGGAATATCCAAGTTCGTTACATAAAGATCATAACAGTTATCCGCTAGCTCCCGAAAGATTAATGGTTAATAAAGATTGGATGTCGGAATATCAACGCTCCTTGATGGGTAATAGTAGGTTAGCTAACGTAGAAAAACTCGTACCAAATTTGATGGATAAAACAAAATATATAGTTCACTACAGAAATCTCCAGTTGTATCTATCGTTAGGTATGAAACTTAAGAAAATACACAGAGTTCTAAAGTTTGATCAAAGCCCTTGGATGGAGCCCTATATAAGGTTGAACACAGATTTAAGAAAGATAGCCACCAGCGATTTCGAAAAGAATCTATATAAGCTCATGAATAACTCGGTATTTGGTAAAACTATGGAGAATCTAAGGAAGCGTGTTGATGTTAAATTAGTCAGATCTAATGAGGAAGAAAGACTCAGGAAACTTATAGCCAGTCCGGCTTTTAACAGAAGCAAGATATTTGATAACGACTTAGCCGCGTTGCATATGCAGAAGAGTAATATAAAATTCAACAGACCGGTGTACGTCGGTATGAGTATTCTCGACTTGTCAAAACACTTAATGTATGACTTTTATTACAACGAACTTAAGAAGCAATACGGCGATAGATGCCAGGTGTTATATACCGACACAGATTCTTTGTTGATGGAAATACAAACCGAGGATGTGTATAAAGATATGGCAGAAAAAATAGATATGTACGACACGAGCGATTACCCGAAAGATAATCCACTGCACAGCGTTGTAAATAAAAAGGTGTTAGGTAAGATGAAGGATGAATGTGCTGGGACCCCTATAGTGGAATATGTAGGATTTAGACCTAAGATGTATTCTATAAAGAAGTCCGATAATGGAGAGATAAGAAAAGCTAAGGGCGTTAAGAAGTATGTTGTAAAAAAGCATATCAAACACGAACAGTATAAAGAATCATTATTCAACGGTAGAACGTTCAAACACGAGATGAACTCTTTAAGAAGTTACAACCATAGGATATATGGATTAAGAATGAACAAGACATCATTATCCCCCTTAGATACAAAGAGATGGATTGATAATGATGGTGTAAATACCTATGCTTATGGTTATGGTGGTAATACCGTACCGTCGGGAACTATGAACAACTCTTCTCGTACAAATGCCCTACCCGGTCCATCTTGAAGATAATAAAGAATAGGCTCTCCTTCTTTCGTAACCAATCGACTAATGTTATACATCTTAAGAGACCGAATCGGATCGGTTGCGCGACGTAGGCCTCCTTCGAGTTCACCGGGCTGGTATAAATATTACCCTTACTCTATCCGGAAGTTTTCGTTCTTTGCCTCTCCTCGGTGCTGAAGATTCGGAAGTCACGGATTTCATTTTAATAGCATCGGATGGTTTCTTCCCTATTAATCTCGTTACTTCATTATTCAGCGCTGATACAACGGCTGATAATCGTGTCACCCATTCGGTTGATCTCAATCGTTCCGATTTCATTTCGATCCCATACTGATAGCCAAACAAACGTTCCGCTAATGTCCTGTTAAATCTTTCGACGATAGCTGACTGGGGTGGGCCTCTCTTTCACCACGGACGATTTCGACATCGTTCTTTGTTAACAGTTTAGTTACCGATCCCATAAACTCGCGACCGGGATCTACTTGAAATAGCTTAGGCCATTTTAGTGGTCCGCGTTTATATATGCGGCTCAGTGCATTAGCTACCTCTGTTGATTCTTTCGAGGTTAATGGCTCAGCCTCTTTGTATCGACTAGCCACATCCACTACCGTTAAAGCGTATTTATACGTTTTGCGTTTTACCTTATCGTGGGGAAGAAACAAGAGGTCAGCCTGATGAACTTCATTTGTCGTAAAAATATCAAACTTCTTCCTCGGTATATAACGCGGTGCCGGTAAATATATCTGCCACATCGCTTGTTTCTTTAACCAATCCTTAGCCACATCTTTAGATACCTTAGCCGCGGTGGCTACTTTTTGTATTGCTCCTACACCTTTCCAATATCCTCGTGGGGTATAGTAAATTTTATTCATTATTAATTAATATTGATGTTTCGTTTAATACAACTCATGACTATCGTTGAATCGCATCATCATTTTGGCATAAAAAATTCCCCCTGTAGTGGCAGTATAGGTAATAAATCTGGCTCCAGAACCCCCATTACCTATAAAAAATTATATCATTGGCTCCAGGTGGTGGTGAGCTAGAGCCACTTAACTTAATCTCATGACTATCATTAAATCACATAATCATTTTGGCATAAAAAATCCCCCCTGTAGTAGCAGTATAGGTATATGAATCTGGCTCCAGTGGAAGTGGTCCAGAACCCCCATTACCTATACTACTTTATGAGTTATGTCCTTTCTATGCCTCTCCTATTGACCAATCAGATTCAACCTCTCGTATCACTTGCATTTGCTTCAAACAAAACGGTGGCGCCCAGTCAAGATGATCTGATTGATAAGCAAGATCTATATTGGGATAAAACGAGTCTTACATCGCGAAGTACATCAAATCACGTGAGTGCCTAGATAAAAAGCATGAAAAGATTTAGAAAATATCTGTTGACAATGAGTTAGCGGTGCACATGCTTTGCAAATCCTGCAGTCGACCGAAATCTGCATGACACTTTACGAACCGGATTTTGATTTCAGTGCGCGATTTTGATTGGACTATGCATAGACTCATTAGTCCAGCCAAAATGTAACTCCATAATACCAGCCTAGTTCGGCAAGGGTGGAAACTGGACTTTTATAGTCAGTTAACTCATTTGCCTTGGGAAGATGGTTCAATGACTGTTGTATTCAACCTAATTATTGAGATTTAGAGAAGAGCCCTTATACAAGATTACAAGAAACCAAAACTTGAAATTGCATCGTTCAGATTGTCAATGACACAATACACAATTGAGCCCCAGATATCAGAAGCAGGCGGTAATAACTTATGGATATGGCTGGTAAAACTTTGTGTTTCTGTACAGGAACAATTAGGAGCCCACTCGACAAAAAATTGTGTAAAAAGTGGAATTAATAACCACTAGAGCCTGCTTACAGGCTAATACTAACGCTCAATGCAGTGGCAACCACAATATTAGAAAAACACAATCAGAGATACATGGAACAGTCTAGGGAGAAAACACAAGGTCATAGTCAACAGACATCAAACAAGGGCCGTCATCCTTCAGCCCACCAGCTGGATTCATACTGCCAATCCCATCACGACAAAGATGAGTACACCCAAAATGAGCATACACAAGACAAGGTATACCAAATATTCTCTTTAGAGACTACAACATACAGGCAAGAAATACTTTGTCAGTATAACCTCTTTACATCTGACACAGGGTCAAAGTTTACTCCAGTGAAATGACAGACTGACTCTGTAGCAACATCCAACAACATATCTGAAGAAATTGTCAAAAATATTTTCCCAACTGTCTTCAGCAGCACATGTTTGTCACAAGAAGTGACAAATGGAATCAGGTAGTCAAGCTTCCTGACGTGGTTGATGCATGTCATTGTATTCCAAATGTGTAGATTGATGCTCATGATGACAATCACTGGATTGTCTGGTCCATACTCAATAATTTACAGACTGCCATCATATAGGTGGGATATTGCTGAGTGCGGTGTTAAATAACAAACAAAGAAAATCATTTCTGTTTATGTCCTTTTGAACTCTTCATTGTTTTTGTTGTTTTTTAGGGTGTCCCAAAATGACCTGGATTACAACTCTGGCTGTTCAGAGCTGATGCATGATGATCTGAAGGTATGATATTTACTTGCAGTTAAGACACCAAAAATATAAACTAACAGTATGTGATTATTGCTAACTGGACAATGGGTTGTCGCCGTACTTTTGCCTTTTGAAACATATTCTTGTACTTACAAATTCACAATGTCAGAAAGATATGTTGTGAGTCTGTCTTATTCCAAGTCTTCTAAACCAATGGTCTTAATGCAATTTCATTACCTGCGGAACAGGTCTAATAATGGATCAGTGTATCACACAAGGTAGCATATTATCTGTAATGCTAATAAGTATCTAAATTAATAGTCTATCTAAGATATTAAATGACTCTGTTGATGGGTCATTATTTGCTAATTATTTTAATGAATCATGTTGAGGTACAAATATGCACACGATTGAGAGACAGTGGCAGCTTTGTCACAATAAAATCAATGATTGGTGAGCTTCAAGCAAATAATTCTTGCAAATCCTCTACTTCTATTACTTCATTGTCATCAATCCTGTATTTTGGCTGGAACCACACTATAATCTTCAGATTTTCAACAGAAGTCCTCCTCACTGTCAACTACACACAACCAGATGTTCTCATAATTATGTTTGTAGCCAATAGCCCTTCTGTGCGCAAAGGTGGGAAAAACCTCATTTCTTTTCTGTGTGTGCTAGAGACAACACCTTTGGTTAAGCTTACTCAAGTACTCGGTTATGTAGCCACACTAGTACTGTTTAACTAGTATCCTATCAGTACTTAGTATTAGCGTTATTTAATTATTACTGGCTGGTTACTTGTGTATTTCTGGCGGAGGTATTTGTGTGTTTTTCGTCTGTTATGTCGTCTCCTCGCCTACATGCCAGAAGTGTGGACATTTCATGGTCACTAGGGACCCGCATAATTTCTGCTTGAAGTGCAGAGACGACTTATGTCCTGAGGAGTCCCATTGCAAGTTTTGCACTCCCCCCTTAAAGACGGCTTTTTCATTGTTTGAGTGTCAAAGCCAAGTGTGAGGAGAAGACTAGTAAGAAGAAAGTTCTTGCCTGATGCATTGACTACCAAGATCATGGCGCCTATCCAGACATCTACTTACCCAACAACTCGGCACCCGGACAAAGATTCTGGTTTTTCAATCAGCACTGTTAGATCAGAATATAGCCCAGATATATGCACATAGCAGCACTCTCTACCAGACTAACGTCTAACCGTCATTTCCCCCAGCAACCTACCCCCCTATCACATAGGACATTACTTACCAGTTACCAGAAACATATATGTTTCGTAAGCAACATCGAATGAGATCACTTGCTGAATGAACTAACTTTTAACATTTAACAGCACTTTGGAGAAACTTTTTGTGAGCAGAAGGCTTCAATGGAAATTTTACTTACATCCCGTCTATCAGCCTTATTGTCAGATGTCGGCCAGTTAAAGAAAGCTCAGGCCTTACAGGCTCAGAAGAATCCCCTGGCTAAGAGGCCACATAGGGAAATGTTTCCAGTTGAGCCACGACCATATTCATCTGCCAGTGCCTCAGTCGCACGACCTACTGACGACCATGCCATCTTGAATGGAATCTCGCTCTCAAGAGATCTCAATATATTTATGATTTAACTTTTAACATTCAACATTACACCACCCTTTGAAACATTGACCACGTCCTTGTGAGATATCCAAAAATTGTGTATGTACAACAGGTATTGTGACAAAGATTGAAATGTCTTGATTAACCAACATGAAGACAGTCAAAATGAGTTCACAAAAGTATAAGTACATAGGAATGTATGTATGCCTATACATACACACATGAACAAGGTGCTTTACTTGTCTTAACATATTACAATATTTAACAAGATTAATGTAACAGTTAAGAGTTCACATTTGCTAACATCACTGTACAATTAACATTCAATCTAAGATGCAAAGAAATAATCACAAAATAATTATAAGTTATCCCATGATATGCCAAAGGAAAGGCATGGGCTACCAAATTGTGGTGCCAATGCCTATAGTAACAACACTAGATGACAGTGGATTTAATGGCTGAGGGTGTGCAGGTACCAGTGGGCTACTAAAGCTGATAGTTGGGTATTGCTGTCCGGCCTTGGTAGCATATTTAAAAGCTACCATTGCTTGGCAACTACCATGCAGCCAAAAGCCTGGCCCCAGATACCATAGTCGGCCAAAGCAACTACCACCTCCTGGCCCAATTAGTAAAACTATTGTGGCAGCTGATATGACGACTGCCGCAGCTGGTCCATTATATGTGGCAATTGGTAAGCTATTTTATGATTCCAGGGTTGAAAAGTCGGGAAAGACAAGGTTCCCACTGTGAAGCAAGTAACCTCAGATAGGTTCCTGCTGAAAAGCAGGTAGCCTTATGCGCGAGTATTAATGTGGAGGATCTAGGGATGTGGCCTGCAGTTAATGTTCTACCGCATCCCTTGATCTTTAATGGATCTCTGGAATCGAGCCAGTAGTGCCTGGGCAGCATCAGAAAGTTGGTGTCATATTCGAGGAATTTGAGGCGACCATGTCAAGGCAGAGTTGGCTGCCCTCCACTGTGCACACGTCATTAGAGCCAAGGTGAATGATGAGGGCTCTGTGGCTGCGATGTGTCGCCTTGACTTGTACATCTAAGATAGCTTCCAGCTCCGTCCACCTCATTCCACCTTGCGCCAGCCATAGCATCCTCGGTTGGTCTGGACTGGTGCCCTTCAGAAACAAGTACTGCTGAGCCCTGGCCATGTAGCTGGAGCCCACCATCCAAACTGTAAACGATAAGAAGTGTAAGTCTGTAAGTACCAGATATAGAATATTTAAATTAGTTGTATAGCATTAAAAGTGTTGGTAAGCATATGTAGGCATTGTAACGATCTGACTTCCACCTGCCATATTGCTGTATGAGGTGTGCAGGCACCCCATTCATCGTTGCTGATGTGGCCATCACAATGGGGAAGGAGTGAGAAGAACAGCAAGCAGTATTTATGTTGCTGTGTGCTAAGGCCTTTCTTAGAAGTGCCTGGAATTGGTAGCTAGTAACGGGGGAATGAGTGAGTGAGTTGGGTTTAACACCGCTTTTAACAGTATTCCAGTTATATCACAGTGGGTCAGCTTAATGTGGGAGGAAGGCCTGAAGTGTTGCAGATGTTTACCACTTCGGTGAAACCTATGAGGGAGGGTATAGTGCTAACAAACTTAGAAACATAATTGGGGCGAACCGGGATTCGAACCCACAATCTTTGGTTTCTGGCGTGCAACTCTGCACAGCGAATCGCGGCGCCTTAGATGACTGGGCCACCCAACAGGGGAATGATCAAAATGAACAAATGCATGTTGTGGGCCAGGGGGGTGTGCCTCCAGATAGTGCTGGGTGGCGACTACGGGACATAGGGGAGTACCTGGTATAGATGACTTTGTAATAGTTGCCCCCGTATAGTGCTGAACACTCTATGAGTATGGGAGATGGATTGATAGCTGTTGGGGGTTGCCCGAGAAATTTAGATTGTGGATGGAGCAATCTGGTTTGGAGGGTCCAGTTTGGACCAGCTCGCTCACCCTTAAGAAACCAAAGAAGGCTGTACAGTAGACTGCCTTGAACAGTCTGGCTTAATATGCAGATGAGCATACGTGAGGCAGATTGTTGGTTTCTATCCGCGGCAGATCTGCCGTGATGGGTTTTATGCTGCTGATTTGTGTAATCCTGTTAGCAGCTTACCCACCATGCAGGAAATGGTTTGTACAATCGCGTGAGCTTGTGGAATTTGTGCTGTGAAGACAGCTGCAATGTTAATCTTGACTGTGTTAGGGAAGTGGTGAGTGACTGACAGATAAGCAATAAAGTTTACAACGTGATCCAGGGGGACTGGCCACACCTCCTGTAGTTGATGTGCAGACCTGAAATGGAGTAAGGCATTGATGCCTGTTTGGTATGTGAACCATGTGTTCATAGACAGAGATTGTTTTAGGAGTCTACCAGCTTCTTGTCACAGCCATACGTTGCTAGGGATAGGTGTAGGGTTCTGGTCCTTGTATGGTGCTGCCACCCGGAAGCGTTAAGAGCTGAAACCTTGAGAGAGCATCGGCAATAGTGTTAGCAGTGGTACAAACATACTTTGCCTTAAACAGAATATTAAACCGGAGGCCCTGCAGGATTAGGTGGCCTTAGTAGACTGCTTGTTGATTATTGTGACCACGGCTTGGTTGTCGCAGTAGAAGAGGACCTTTTTCTTTGCTAGTTGCTTGCCCCAATGTTGGATGGCCAGTGTGATGGGGTACAGCTCCAGTAGTGTCAAGCTAAACCATTTGCCCAGCAGGTACGCCCCAAAGCCAGCCCCAACGATGTCTGTGAACAGCTGACAATAATCGCTGTCTAGTCACAGTTGATCCTGAAACACTGAAATGCCATTATAACCGGTGAGAAATGTGAACCACATTTGTAAGTCTTCCTTGACCCAGTTGGTAATCGTAATGTAGTAGTCTGCTGAATGCCCTTGCCATTGGTATAGCCCTGCTCATAAAGTTCAGCTTGCTTATTAGTGGCCCTTATTTTACCTGTTGACAGGATGTCTTGGATTTCCACTGTCACCTCCTTGATCTTGGACTCTGATCTGCATTGCATTAGTGTCAATTTCCAGCCCTAAGAATGTCAGTAGTGTAATAGGGACCCCATGCTGTTCCAGTGTATTTACGCATCCGTTAAGGTTGTCTAAGCAGTGGCTGGTGCCTGCTGTGCCCTCCCCCCCCCCCCGTCAGGGAGTCGTCCAGGTAATGCATGATCTGACATGTTGATAGGTGGGATTGCATGCACCATTGTAAGAAGGTACTAAATGTTTAAATATGGCGCGAAATATGGAGCAGCCAAGTGGTAAGCATTTATCTAAATAGAACTCACCTTCAAATCTTATGCGTAGTCGCTCGAAATAGGATGGATGGACTGGTATATTTCTTAAGGCTGACTTAATGTCGAATTTTGCTGATAATGCTCCCTTTCCAAGTTGTTGCACCATCAAATCTTCATCAAATCTGG